AGATCCTATTCCAGTGCTGTCTCTCTCCAAAATGTTAAATCTATATACCTCACTGTGTGAAAATTAGAAGTTAGAAATACAATTTTTATCTAAGGTATCATGAGGCCAGAGTTTGTGTGGCACTACAAACTCGGCAGCCCGCCCGTCTTGATGAATACAGATAACAGATAGCGAAAACACTGAATTGTCACATCTTGCCAATGCCGATCCACTGCATAAGGTCAGTATTAACCCCAAATCAGGTGGAACATACTGATGCATCCCTAATAAAGAATCGGTGAACATAGGGCAGGGGGGGGGGTGACAAACTTCCTTGTTGCTATTTGGACCATTTTAAAAATCTGCACTGTGTGACCACACAATAGGCTAAAATTGTATGGATGCTGCTTTCAGGTTTGCTCCCCTAACATTCTTCCTTTATGACAACAAAGATCACAACAACTACAGTAGATCAAGGAAAGAGAAGTAATAGAGGGATGTAACAAAATAAACCTTGAAAGAATCCACATATTTCAGATACAACAGCATCAACATTACACAAACATAAATACAAAAACATCATTGATGTTATGGAAATGTTCTTGTTCAATGGTGAGCTTCTGAAACAAAGATATCCAAACCAATATGTCTCTATGTGATTTTATTTCTTGCGAGAAAGGTCAGTCAATCCAACAAAGCATCGCGTACAAGCTGGATGGAAAAGACAAAGATACAGTAGCAGCTAATTTATAACAACTCTAGGATCGGGAAGAGCAAGGTCAGGTCTCCATGTAACTCGAACAAAGTGTCTTTGTTCCCTATCAATTGGCTCTTGTGAGTCTTCAAATAACTATGGTTCAAGCAGTAACACCAGATAAATCTATGGCTCTTGTGACTTTAGCATAGATGATACATTTCTTGCTACCTAAAAAGGAATCTCTGCTAGGGTACAAACGAGCTAAAGAACTATAATAGGAGACAGTGTAACTCACAGGTTATATTTTGCATAGACGTGTTGCACAAGCATGACCATGATATGGTGACATTGTACGAGGCACACATTGCAAAAGTCACTTTATATAAGGCAATCTAATACTTTTCCATTACAACACGGAACAAAAAGAAAGTTTTGAGGATACCTAAAGCAGTACAAAACCAGACAGACAGCATCTATGACAAATAATAATGTTGTCACAGGTACATCAACATTGCTGCACTATATTGTATAGTATGTCATATACCCCATGTTGTTGGGTGCAGAACACAAAAGATGAAAATGTTCTATACCGGGACGGTATTAGTTACAAATGAGAAGAACTATGGAACCGGGGCAACAGTTGAAGAAATGAAGAAAATAATAGAGGCAGGCAAGAAAATGGGAAATTTCAAAAAGAAATCAATGGGAGGTTTATGTACAAGACTTGCAGCAGGCGGCTGGTGTATTATTTCTTCAATGTGACTTTTTCTCTGTGGTCCGTTCAAAGCCTGCACACCTCAGGAGGTGGTGGATCCAGCAGTGTGTATGCCTGGAGGCTGCAGTATTGCCTTTGTTAGCAAAAAAGTCTTACCTTTGGCTTTTGAAGGGCAGTGTTTGAAAAAGAACCCAAAAAGTTCACAGTCCCTTCCTCCCAGTGGGGCAATGGGAGAAGGACTGTGGAAGGGTGAAAGACTTAGCCAACAGCCTGGTTTTCATACCAGGCTCACAAGGGTATATTCATTATTTATGTCATCCAGTCCCCCCCGCAACATTCCTTTAAACTATTCTTTGATTATTTTTGCATTATGGCCACCATAAAAATACCGAATGTCTGAGTGAATATGCAATACTAAATCACACAACAGCATTTCAATTTCACTGACATTCATCTTGTCTTTATGTTGCTTGGTTTCCATTTGACCCACCCACACTAAACATCTGCATACACTCGTGATACTGTAAGAGGACTTGAATGAAAACAACCATTTAATGACATAAATTTGACTAGAAGTTCTGCAGTCTTCTCTTTTCAACAAGAATAACATCAAATCAGGAATGATTTAAAAGAAGACAAAAGAAGCTGATATTGACAGAGTTGTTAACATTACCTGCATTGAGCTTCCCAGCAGATGCTCTAGCTGCTCAACGCTAAATTATCATTTTATAAATCCATTTACTGATTGAGATTTTGATCATGCTTGCCCAGGTTTCCTTTGCCCTCTGGTTAAATAGGTAGTGATACCAGATAAGAGTTATTAATATGTATGCACCTCTGATCTTACAGTGTAGAGGAGACACCGCATCAAATATGGTTCAGATTAAACACATTAAATAAAAATGACATTGCCTGAGGTTTTGATTTAAGATATGAGTTTGGACCTGCTATGAGAGCATACTTGAGTTTCCATGTATTTTAAAGCTGTGGAAGATTGATTTACATTTTAAATGCTTGTAAACACCATTATAAAATATTTGCATATGGTTTATGGGTCCATTAAAGAGCCTTTTTAAGTTATACCAGTAAAACTATCCAAGAGTTTAATGCAAATATACTGTACAGTAAATGGTAGGAAACTGTACATGGTAATATAAAATATCACATAAATGGCTTATTCAGTCATAAACTATCTTGTCTGTTTTTTCTTTTAATTTAAGCTGCAGTAGGTAACTTTTGCAAAAATAACTTTTTTCATAATATGTTGGTACTTGACAACCTGGGAATGAGACTCAGCAATCAGCAATCTTTCTCAGCTCTGATTGGTTGTTTTTGTTTTTACAAATTATCTGTCTCATGTACTACTTTCAGAATACTTCCATAAGTAATATGGAATAACCACTAGAGGTGCTGTAGAGCAATGTTTTGATGAGCGGGTCCCAATTTTGTTTGGGTCGCATGCTGTAACAGAGCTTCTGGTGTTTATATTTTCATGTGCGTCCTGGTGCACACACATACACTACAAGCTTAGTGTGGAGTGATATACATTTATTATGACTGCAAAGCATGCTAATGCATATCAACAGTTGTTAGTGGTAACGCAACATAAGGTGTAGATAACCAATGAAAGAGCAGAAGGTTTCAAAACATTCAAAAGTCTTTGCAGATGTTTTATAATGGAGGAAATGCATTAACATTTTAAGCAATTTTTTTTTAACAAAACATGACTTAAACAAAAACTTGTTGATGACAATGAAAACTTAAAATTGAATCCTCTTCAAAGTAATGGTTTAGATTCAAATCAAGTCAGACTACAGTGTGTGCGTTACTTGCGTCAACCACCTTGATTTTAATTCTGTAGTAAATTCTCTTAATAACTTATTTAAAGCAACATTATGCAACTATTACCTCAAAATAACAGCTTTAAAAATCATTTAGATGCTACACTGACTTGTATCAGGAAGAATGGTGCCTCTGTCATTCTAGCCCTGCACATACTGTAACACTGTAACAGGTATGATCTCCCATGAGAAGTGCCTAATGCTTAACAGCACAGCACAGTCACACACCACCAACTATGTCACTGGTAATTTGGGGAAACTGAATCTTATTTTATGGAGAAAATGTCTTCTGGTTTTCCCTCTGATATCCTCTGGCTGATCTGTCTCAACTCTTTTTACGGAGTCTCCTGACAGACAGATAGATGCTGCAAGACACACGCCGTTCTGGCCTTCTCGCTGTTGGACTAGTAAGTAATATTAGTTGGCTTGCTATGGCTTGTGTTGTTGCACTTGCTTGATGTTTGGTTGTATTAGCAAAGTTAAGTCTACTCGCTAGTTTTTGATCTATAATCATAACAATGACGTGTACAGCTGTCCATTTTTACAACAGTAGTGTATAAGGGAATTGCATCCTGAAACCAGGAAAGCCTGTGATTTTAGTCATTAAATATTAACAGTACAAATAACTGAAATTACAGTGTAAATCCATCCACTTGATTTTCAGCTAAAACCACAATATTGCAATATATTTCACATGCTTTGCATTAATATTAGCTTTGACTTTAGACTCTGTGTTGGACTCTGTGTCGTTGTTGTTGTAGGTTGTAGACTCCCTTTCTAAGCTAACTAACTAACGTTAACTAGTGTTGCACACTGTTGGAACTGCAGGGAAGCGGACAGAGAAGGCACTCGGGAGCGCACATAAACGTCACATTCATTGGATTTTCCCAGAAAATATAACCTGCATCCCTACATAGAGATCAATCCACAGGCTGTTATAGGCAATAAAAAATGATTAATACATAAAAATAATATGTAAAATGCTTCAAAATCTTACATATGGTATCTTTAACATATAAATAGGCAATGTGTGTCACTTTAATTTTAAAGTAACAATTATATTGTACATATTGTCTATTATTATCATTACATTTTTTTATATTATTCATTTAATATGTATGCCTCTTGACTTGCAGTACTTGTTTTCTTTCTTTTTGTTCTATATTTAATCGTAATTCAGCTATATACCAAGGGAAATTCCTTGTATGTGAAAACCTACTTATCAATAAAACTCATTCTGATTCCGAGTCAATGTTTTTGGATATTTGTGGAGTAGTTGATTTGGTTTAATAGCTAATAAATAAGTGACTGATAAGTGATTGATCTGGATTAGTGTTAACTGTGTAAACAAGGGCGATTACAAGTGTGTGTCACTTTAAGAGTCAGTGTTCTTGATTTAAGCTGGTTTAGTATGATCTGTGTAAATGACATTACAGTGTGTGTGTGTGTGTGTGTGTGTGTGTGTGTGTCAGTGTCACTTTACGTCTTGATTTCATCCGAGTAGCTGATTTGGTTGACTGTGAGTCACTTTAAGACTCAAACTTACTGATTACATCTGAGTTGCTGATTTGGTTTTTTAATAACTATTCCAATTCCGAATATGTGTGCGTGTGTGTGTGTGTGTCACTTTAAGAGTCCGTGCTCTTTATTTTGGATGAGTAGCTGATTTGGTTTGGTATTAACTGTGTAAATAAGTGCGATTACAGTGTGTGTCACTTTAAGAGTCAGTCTTCGGGTGGCTTCTTGATATTAATAGAGCTGCTGTGTCTTCCTCCTCTGACGTAATGCTCACAGCCTACAGAGAGACAGGCAGAGAGGTCCTGTCACAGCAAAGCGATAACACTAGTCTGAACCAAAAAAAAAAAGAGAGAAATTACAGATAACGAGCTGCTCCTGGCTTTGGTTTGCTGTGGCCAGCAAACCCGGGGCTCTGGGCGGCTGAATAACATACTATAACATCGGAATATTAGAACTCCAGAGCCAACCTAACTCACTAATCAGTCGCTATCAGTGTTTGCCGTGAAGCCTGAACTACCTCTCCTTCCCTCTCAGACCAAAGAAAAAAAGAGACAGCCAAGACACAGTCACCCCGTCCGACATCATCAACAAACAAAAAAAAAAAAAAAAACCACAAAGAGACCGAACCAGCCAGCAAACCAGCAGCCAGCCAGCCAGCCACCATCTTAACAGGCTGCTTGAAAGACACACACTGAGAGAGAGAGAGAGAGAAAGAAAAAGAGGCTAATGCTTGTTTTTGATCAACAGGTAAGCAGCACCAAAAGAAACACACCACCAGCACAAATGCACACCATGCACTACAGCCCTCTGTGGTAGTTGGTGCAGTGACATTGTAAAACGGCAAAGAAGAGGGGGGAAAGAAAAAACGCATCGGCGGTGCATGGGTTGGAGTTGTAGATGGCGAAATGCATGCTCTCGGATAAGTGGGAAAATGAGATTTGTTCGTCTCGAAAAGGGGGGAAGCCGGGCTGTCCACGGTTGCGTTTAGGAGACATAATATCGCTCTGTTAGCCGTTAGTAGTTTTACGACGGGCAGCAGTCGGTTTGCGTCTTATGTAACTAACGGCCTGAGCGGCGTCGGTAAGGAAAGAGGGATCTGCTGAATGAGAGAGAGAGAGGGAGAGAGGGAGAGAGGGAGGAAAAAAAGAGCAGCACCGCTTTGAATTCACATGGCAATTTACATTTAGGTTAGGACACCCAAACGCTACACAAATACAAATTGAGGGGGCTACTGGGGGACGGCTACCGCTTTTGACTTAACACTGAGTTTTTGAAGCCGACAGCAAGGGGACGTGGAGTGACTTAGTCGCCCTCAAAGTAGGTTTGTGTGTGTGTGTTTTTTTTTTGTTGTTGTTGTTGTAAGTTTTGTATCTTGTTATTTATTTATTTATTTTTTGAAGGAGGGGGTGGGGGGGCATTCATTTACGATAAGTCGCATCTTTGAGTGAGCCGCTACAAGCCGGCGACTCGGGCTGGTTTTTGTAGCTCTCGTGGAACTTCTGTGTGTTACTTTTTGTCCTCTTCTGGTTTTCATTGATAACTTTTTCGTTACTATTCTGACTGCAAACTTGATACTCAAGTTCAGATTTCTTGCTCCTCCGAATGACGCACGTCGCGGAGAAAGAGTGGGGGGGAAAGGAGTTTTGTGCTGAGAGATGAACACAGTTAGGGTGCTTGTCGTTTGTCTTTTATGTGTGGGGGGGCTAAAAAGTGGAAAAGTAGTGCAACTCTGAGATCAAAGAGATTGCGTTTAGCAACTGGTTTACAGCCGATATGGCGCTGTTTTCTTTTTTTTCCTTTTGCACCTCTTTCATTGTTAGCAAGCTCGAGAGCGCATGGTGGATGTGAATTGTCGTTAAAGGACCCCCCCCCCCTTTCCCCTAAACATCCTGTCTTATCAACAAGAACAACAAGTACTTATTAGCTCAAATGTGGCGCATTTATTTATTTGTTGTTGTTGTTGTTGGAACTTTTCTTGAGTGATGTCGGGAAAGCCTGCGTTGCATTTCCACTCAACTTTGAAAAAGTTGCGCCCCCCCTCCTGTTGTAAGAAACTGTGATGTTCCTTTGAGATAAGGGAGCTGGGTAGGCATGACAACTCTGTGGGGAGAGCAGAGTATGTGAAGCCAGTACAATGAGGCACACACTGCAAGGAAGCTTTTTACATAGTCCTTCACAGTTCTCCAAATCTGGCCCCCCAAAAAGAACTGCTTATGTGTGGACCGACTTTTATTCAACAGATAACCTCAGTACAATTTTTTTCAAAAAGCAGAGCAGGCCCGTGAGACTTTACTCTGACCCCACGCTTGTTCGCAGTTGTTTGAAAAAGCAGAGAGAGTTTGTATTTTATCAAGTGATTAAATGATTAATTCCTTTTTATTTTCATTCATTAGCCTTGTGAAGTCGCAAACCATTTGCTGGTTATTTCTGCGGTGCTTTAGATATAAAGCATCTCTGTGTGCGTCTTTAACTTCACGGCATTTCAGTGCCAAGTAGAAAGTTGCACTGGCTTTTTTTTGAAAAGCACTTTAAAAAAGAAACGGTGAGTTTGAGATTGCTATCTCTAACGCTCACGTAAAGTTCTGGCTTCCAATATTTCCTTAAAAGTTTTTACACTCTCGGCCACAGCTGTAGGGAAAGGTTACACACGCATCCTAAAACTGCGGGGATCACTTGAGGGGAAAATACAAATAGGCAAAATTAGTCATGAAAGTTTTAAGGTTTAGTTTGCTTTGCAGTTTTACAAGCGACATACCAACGCAACTCTAATTCCAAAGCTGTTAACGCTGGAGTATTTGTTTAGACTTTTTAAGCACATAACTTATTTTTTTACACAAAGGACAGACAGCAGCGTACGCAACACATCTTCTGTAAGATTTAGGAGTATGACAGATGGCTGCTTTTATTACTTTTTTGAAAACAAAATACTTTAGAAAGTCAAACAAATGTTGTCAAAGTTGAGTCAACTTACTGTAGTTTAGTAAGAGCTCTGGATACTTGTGCCTCGGTTAAGAGTTCAGTATGTGGTGGATTTATGTGACGCACAGCTCCATGTGTAACTTTGTCTAACAGGTTTTTCTGTTGCTTTTAAAATTGTATTTTTGTTACCTGGCACAGATGATACAGATTTAGTAGTTTGATATATTCATAACGGCATCTTCACGCACTTGGTAAGTTAATCAAGTGCTTTCAACTGACATCAAGTTTGAATTTATTTGGGAATGTCCATGTAGTGCTTTGCTGTCCTGTCCATCTGGCCAGTTAATGTTTCTCCCTTGTTTCCACTCACCTCGAGTGCGACACACTCCAGCCTCAGGGACACTTGCTCCTAACTTCTTCAAATAATTTTGCTCTTCTATCCCCTGATATCGCACATGTAAATAGGCCTTTGTTAAGCTTTTACCAAACATTTAACAAGATCCTATAAAGTGTGTAAAAACATTTGATCTAGCAGTGTATCAATCTGTAACTTTTAAAAATGTTCCTCTTTCCAGACACTGGATATTATTGTATCTTACGGCCTTGTTCGTAGCTGCTATTAAACGTCAAAACGGTTGACGACTTCCTAAAGAGAACCTCTGCTTGTAAAACTCTTTCCCGTATGTGTGTGTGAGACAGAGCACTTTTTCCTGTGTGTGTGTGCGTGTGCGTGCGTGCGCGGAGACAGCCATGGCTTACTCATATGGCTGCAATATGTGAAGTCTCTGCGGTGGAACTGGGAAGAGAGAGAAAGTTTTGAGAGAGAAAGACAGAAACAGAGCGAGAGAGAGAGAGAGAGAGAGAGAGAACACATGGAGTGAGGGAAGTCAGAAATGTCCTGTTCAACTAGCTGGAATGTATCTCCTGTGTTTTATTGATGGTTTGATGTTCTGTAAGACATGAGGAACAACTGTAGTGATTTTGTGGGCTGCCATGCATTTTTCTTTGGTCGTTTCAAAGCAGTGCTGCATTACAAGGGAAAAAAGTTTGAGATGGAGTGTAAAAAGGGCCAGACGGCGTGATGTTCTAGACGAGGACATTTGTTATGCACCGTAGTTTCTGTCAAACTCTTCTACTTGCAGTCATTGGAATTGATAATTGTCAAGATAGAAAAGAGTTTTTGGAATGTTTTTGGAAAAAGGCTCGATGTCAGTGTGTTTGAAAAAGGCAAAGGAAGCAAGAAAGAAAATAGTGCTTAAAGCAAGAGTGTTTCTTTTTTTTACGAATAATGTGTCGAGGCCGACGCAGTAAAATCCCAAAAGTTTACAGGATTGATAGAAGTTTGTTAAACTTAGGCCAAACATCCCCTGTACCTCCCCTATGATACAGCAGAAGTTTTAGGGCGAGGTGAGGTATTTTTATTTGCCTTCCAGTACCTGCTAAAATCTGCCATTGCTAAGGAGAAAGCAAGTAATAACTCTGCCATAGCCTCAGTCTCTCAGTCTCCCAGTCACTGCTGTCTCTCTCCTTCTTGCCCGGACTGATGCGAGTCCTTTCTCAGAGAGTTGTGTCCTAATTGTGTTTCAGTTAATCTTGGTTTATTATTGCTGTTCTCTAAACTGGTATTCTGTGGGTAGATGGGATATTAACGTGCTGGCAAATGAGACGATCCCATTAACAGACCTGTTGGCCACTACAGAGTGAGAGAGTGTATGAGAGTGCAAAACAGTTGTCTCCCTGATCTGAGGAGAGAGCAGCCCTCTGAAATCAGTTGAGCTAAATATTTTGCATTGCTGAGACAGTCTGACTGTCGGTTGCTACTGGAGTGACTGAAGTGGTAACAGGAGCAATTGTTTAAGAAGTTAGATTTGACTGTTTTATTTAACTTTTATTTCTGGCTCGGATAATGAGACGTATGGAAAGCCTTGGTGAAAAAATATAGCACATGCAAGTGTTCCCAGCTGACATTTACCTAACATCTCCATGCCTCACCATTAAGCTCCTGTGTTAATACAATCTAATCTGTATTCAGTCAATCTTAGCAACAAGAAGGCTTATGTTGTTTTTTTTCCTCAAGGTTTTTTTTAAGTGTTTTTCTTCATGTGGACTCACAAATCTCATTTATTTCTAATTTCTGATCCCATTTATTTATGAACGTGGACTCTTATCTCTCGCACTGTTTCCAATAAGCAGGAAAAGATAGCATCTATTAGAGCAATCAGCCGGTATTCATCTCAACCCTGCCTGCAGTTCAGATAAAGGAAAACCTCCATTTGTCACGGATAGTTTATTTAAAGAAAAAAACGTCTTTGCAAGGCTTCTGGCTCTCTTGGCTCAAAGCTCTGCAGCTCACACTTCTTTATTACCCAGTCTCTTGTTTTGCCCATATCCCAAGGACACAATTGTTTTTAACTTATTTAACCGTCTGGGCGCATTGTTTTTGGCTCTTCCATTGCTTTGTATTAGCTGCTTGTAACGTCTGTGATACAGGGATTTGAGCTCATTCTCCTGTTGCATTTACTGGAAGCCACTCTGGAAAAGAGTGTCTGCTAAATGCCCAAAATGTCATCCCCACTCTGTCTGTGGTTAGTGCAGCCTTGTTTAGGCTTGAGTTTGTCTCTAATGTCTTTGGTCTTATTTTAGACTTTTAAGTCTGTCTTTTAGACGGCCTGCTTCAGATAACGAGCACATGGTCTTGGTTTAGGGTGAAATTAATCTTTTTTTTTTTTTCTTTCCCCTTTTTTAAAAAGTTTTTGGGACAGACAAATCCTAAATATGGGACAATTTTTCTTCCTTTGATCTGAGAGAGTAAATAATCCTTCTGTCAC